TGTTTGACTGCGTATATGTGTGTGCCTTTATACGTGTTCATATGCGTGCGTCACCATGAATTGCAATGCGTTACGTTGATAAAAAAAAAACAGACAAAAACAACACATTTACACATTAAAAATCGAATAAATCTAAGAACCGTTATGTTGATGAAAAACAAACAAACAGACAAAAACAACACATTTACACATTAAAAATCGAATAAATCTAAGAACCGTTACGTTGATAAAAAACAGACAAACAGACTAAAAACAACACATTTACACATTAAAAATCCAATAAATCTAAGAAGCGTTACGTTGATAAAAAATTAAAAATACATTGACATAATAACAACATCAAGATGAAAACACGCCTCTGAAATCCCAGCTAAAATATATTTCATCTTATTCAGCCTCTTCTATCCTCCTTACATTAAAGTTTGATGAGAGGAGTGAGTTTCCTTGTACACTGAGACTCAGATTAAAAAAAAAAAAAGTGTAGCCCAAATTATTCCTAAATTGTTTCAGTTCGACCTAAGCTCTCAAGTTACTCTAGCCTTAGCATGCTCACAAACTTAATTTCAAAGATAAGTTTCCCAAGTTGCAGCGGCGTACTAAGCAAATGAATTAAGAATTACCTCGGGTGCTCAGTCTGCGTGAGCATAGGCCTGGGATTCAAACTTCGGGGTAATGAAAACTACGGTGGTAGCAGTGTACACACGCGCACGTACACAGACACACAGACACACACACACACACACACACACACACACACACACACACACACACACACACACACACACACACACACACACACTCACTCACTCACTCACTCACTCACTCACTCACACTCACACACACACAAAAAAAAAAAAACACAGATACATACGTATATGCAGTTATGTGTGTGTGTGTTATATATCTGTATGTTGTGTTTGTTTTTACCTCTATGTTTCAAAAAAGTTTATGTGAACTAGAGAAATAATGAAAAAAGAATATCTAGAGTAGACCGAGAATTCGTACAGCGTGTAAGTTTGAATGATCAATCAACTTTGACGTCTGGAATTCTATTATATCTTTCCTCCCCGAACGACAATCTTTTATTCGAACAGATGCGCCCAGTTTTACATTCTTCACCCGGCAGTTTATAGGACCTCTCAGACGAGCCATTCATCGCATCCATTCACTTGCAAGAACGCGGAGGAACACGGCAGTGTCTTAGGAGCACCGGGGGGGGGGGGGAGAGGGAGAGAACGGGGCTCAAATATCACACTGGAAATGCTATCGAAACTTTTATTTTTGTTTTGGGGTCGTTGGTTCCTGTGACATTTGGCTGGACACACGTTTGCGCCTGTGAAAAATGGAGAGAGAGAGAAAGAGATAGATAGATAGATAGATAGAGAGAGAGAGAGAGAGAGAGAGAGAGAGAGAGAGAGAGAGAGAGAGAGAGAGAGAGAGAGAGAGAGAGAGAGAGAGAGAGAGAGAGAGAGAGAGAGAGAGAGAGAGAGAGAGAGAGAGAGAGAGAGAGAGAGAAAGAAAGAGCGGAACGATGATAACTGGAAAGCATGGAGTCCGGGGGTGGTGAACTCGGGACTAAAGTTGCCTCGACTTACGTAAAGTTGTACGAAAGGGTTGTCGTGCGGACTTATCGAGGTGTGGTGTAGCTGTGTTGATGTTGATGGTGATATGACTGAATATGGTGACGGTGCGGTGTTTGTTGTTGCCCAGATCGCGCCACTGACATTTCTAGAGTTGAAGGTTATAGTAATTTTCTGATTATCTCGTTTGAAAAAAATGCTATAGTGATGATGATGACGATTCATATAGAAAGATCACACTACTTCTACCTTATACAGTGTTAATTCAAACTCACAATGCTAAAAAATAATCTTATGGAAGTGACGTTGCTATTGTGTTTGAGGTCGGTTTAATTATAAAAGAAGATTGTAGAACTAGCAGTAGCATTGCAAGTTACATAATCAGCCGTGGTGTTGGTGAAAGTGTGGACACGGGTACAAGTGGATTAGGGAAGGTAATCAAGTTAATGGGCGTGGTAAAGAGGGTTTAATGGTGAAGGGAATAATTGGAAAAGAGAATGGGCTAGTAGGGGTCAGCAGGGAGAGAGGTTGAACGCGAAATGAAGAATTGTGGAAAAGGGGCCCCTGTTGATACCGGCATGGAATGGGGTGGATAAGCAGGGAAATAAATAGAAATTGGGGGAAAATACAGCAGGGGTTATGGGAAGAAAAGGGAGAGGGAGCAAAGCAAGTAAGAAGATAAATAAAGGGGACCATGCGAAATACAAACATAAAGACAAAGAGAGAGAGAAAAAAAAAACGACTAAATGAAACGGAAATAAAGAAAGACATATGTTAATTGTAAGAAGAAAAAACGCTCACTCTCGCAACAAACATAAAGAAAAAGAGAGAAAAAAGAGCAAAAACGACTAAATGAAACGGGAATAAAGAGAGACGCAAAGAAAAAACGCTCTCTTGCAACATACCAACCATACCACCACAAATGACCCTATGAAAGAAACATTACATTGGAAAAAATCACGCCACTGCATCATAAATAATTTAGACGTACATAATGCGCAAATATGTTGACGTCAGTGAAAAAGAGAGGTAAGAAAAAACCCGATAAGTAGAAAAAACAGGGGAAAATGCCGTAAAAAGGAGATAGAACATTATAACATAAATACTACATATCAACAATTATATAACGATTCACGCGTCAGAAATAAGAATCAGTAAGATATAATGACAAGGAAGGAAATAACAAAGGAGAAAAAAATAAAAGAGATAGGTAGGTAAATAAGTAGACAGCTAGATAGATAGAAAGATGGATTGATTGACAGAGAGAGAGAGAGAGAGAGAGAGAGAGAGAGAGAGAGAGAGAGAGAGAGAGAGAGAGAGAGAGAGAGAGAGAGAGAGAGAGAGAGAGAGAGAGAGAGAGAGAGAGAGAGAGAGAGAGAGAGAGAGAGAGAGAGAGAGAGAGAGAGAGAGAGAGAGAGAAGAGAGAGAAGAGAGAGAGAGAGAGAGAGAGAGAGAGATAGAGAGAGAGAGAGAGAGAGAGAGAGAGAGAGAGAGAGACAGACAGACAGACAGACAGACAGACAGACAGACAGACAGACAGAGACAGAGAGAGACAGACAGACAGCAGAGAGAGAGAGATAAACAGAACAGATATAGAAGCAGAGCCAGATAGAGAAAAACAGACAAACAGAAAAAAAAAAAACAAAAAAAAAGAGACAAACAGACAGACAAAGCAACTCGAGACCCAAGTCCAGCTCGGGGTTTTAATGTTTACACCTCACGTGTCACTCACAATGTTTTATACCATGTTTAATACTTGTGCGACCAAAGGAAGCATGTTAACCCTTTCTTGTGAATACAAATGGCAAACTCGTGGCCTGGGAGACGCGAGTTCAGGTCCGCCGTTCGCTCGAGTTCTCTCTCGTTCTTCTTTCGTTCTGCGTTTATCAGTCTTTCTCCTTATCTTGGGGTTTTATTTCCTCGATTTCTTGTATGAAATTATGCTTTTGGTGTTGTTTTTTAATATTTCTTATTTATCAATAATGATGGAAATACATCTAACAACGATGGGAATATGATGTTAATGATAGTCGTGGTGATCATGATTATAGTAAAGATGACAGTAATAATGATAATGATTATAAGGATGTTGACGATGAGGGTATCAATAGTAGTAATAATAGAATTAATAATGTCAATCATTGATAATAATGATAACAATAATAATAATAATAATAACAACATAGTAATAATAGAAATAATGGATAATAATAATAATAATAATAATAATAATAATAATAATAATAAATAAT